TATATATATAGTGATTTATGATTTATATGTACATTTATATACAACTTTACATTATATAACTATTTTATTGTATAATTATTTGTGCACACATACGTACACACATTCTTTTAGATTTATATTTTTATAGAGAGAGAGCGATAGATAGAGGATTTTATGAATATATACATTTATATTTATCTATTCTATTCTATTCTATTCATTTTGTTCATTTGTTCTCATGTCTGCCGTGCTGCTGAGTGGTTTGCGATTGTAGCTCCGTGTAACTTCGCTTACTATCACTCTCTGTTGTTTAAAGTGATAAAATATAACTTAATTCCCACCATATTTCTGATATTATCTATCAAACTAATCTGACTAATTTGATCATTCGCTTTTAATCTAAAACGGCGAGTGCACCGCGTGTGCAGCACGTTAGCATTTCTTAGCCGGTTAGCTTGTCATTTGCGTTTCCATTCGCGTTTCTATTCGCGTCTATTACTGTTTTCTTTTTTTTTCTTGCTCCGTTTCTTTTCTCTCTCACTCTGTTTTTCACAAGTTCATCAAATAACAATGTGAAGTCGGAATCATTCATTAATCACAGTGAGTAATGGCTTCTTCTCCTGCTGTTGTTGTTTGCACCACTTGCCACATGTATAGTTTATCTCTCTCTGTCGGCGATTCACATGTGATAAATGCAGGAAAATAGTTAGGTTGACAGAGAAGATTTTAGAACTAAAGACACACAGAGACACGCTGTGTCAAACTTTAATGGATGCGACTAGCTCAGGGAGTCCTGTACATTGTTCGGTTCCGGTTACAGAGCCCGTGCAGCAGGGCGACTGGGTGACTGTGAGGCGGCATAGTCACGGGTCAAAACACCGCTCTTCCATTCCGATCAAAACATTAAACAGGTTCTCCCCACTCAGTGACGCACCCACTGAGAAACCTGATGAAAGTGCTCGTTGTTTTTGCCACATGTATAGTTTAGCTCTCTCTGTCTGCGACGTGGGATTCACATGTGATAAATGCAGGAAAATAGTTAGGTTGACAGAGAAGATTTTAGAACTAAAGACACACAGAGACACGCTGTGTCAAACTTTAATGGATGCGACTAGCTCAGGGAGTCCTGTACATTGTTCGGTTCCGGTTACAGAGCCCGTGTCACATGTGATAAATGCAGGGAAATAGTTAGGTTGACAGAGAAGATTTTAGAACTAAAGACACACAGAGACACGCTGTGTCAAACTTTAATTGAGGATAGTAAGAATGTGAGGGCTGTAGATTCAGCTTTGGATGCGACTAGCTCAGGGAGTCCTGTACATTGTTCGGTTCCGGTTACAGAGCCCGTGCAGCAGGGCGACTGGGTGACTGTGAGGCGGCATAGTCACGGGTCAAAACACCGCTCTTCCATTCCGATCAAAACATTAAACAGGTTCTCCCCACTCAGTGACGCACCCACTGAGAAACCTGATGAAAGTGCTCTAGTTATTGGCGATTCTATTGTACGTAACGTGAAAATAGAGACACCAGCCACCATAGTCCAATGTTTACCGTGAGCCAGAGCACCTGACATCTTGGCAAATTTAAAAGTGCTGGTTAATGCTAAACGTAAATTCAGTAAGATTGTTATCCACGTCGGCACTAATGATGTTCGACTTCAGCAGTCGGGGATCCCTAAAAATTATGTTAAAGAGGTGTGTGAACGCTGCGCTCGACACTATCAACCACAACATTTTTTTGAATAGACTTTGTTGGCATTTGTGGAAGTGCATTAGCATGGTTCAAATCATAGTTATCTGACCGCCATCGATTCGTAGCAGTGAATGAGGTACTCCAGTATGGAGTACCTCAAGGCTCAGTACTAGGGCCGTTACTTTTCACGCTTTACATATTACCCTTGGGAGATATCATCAGGAAACACGTGTTAGCTTTCACTGTTATGCTGATTATACCAATTTGAAAGCCAATTTGATAAACTAACGGAATGCATAGTCAATATAAAAAACTGTATGACGAGTAATTTCTTACTGCTAAATTCAGAAAAAAAACAGAGGTGTTAATTATCAGATGATAAGAGCAGAGACAGATCCCCAGTGAGGACCTTGACTCCTAGACGGCCATCGGGACAAGACCACGGGAACCAGATGAGTCCTCTGCACAATCTAACTTTGCTGCAGCATGGATCAACCTGCTGGTTCGTCTGGCCAGAGGCGAACTGGCCCCCC